CAAGCAGGAGGCTCCCAGGGAGGGGTAGCTCCAAGGCAAAGGGAAGGAGGTGCACAGCAGTGTGGGGAGGGGCAGCTGAAGTGCCAGTGCTTGATAGCCTCTTGGCCAAACCTGTCAAGATCAGAGGCTCCATGAACTACCAATAGATCCCAATCTACTAGTTGGTGACCACTGGCCTAGGAGCTCTGATTCCCTGTTCTAACCAAAAGAAAATTAATTCTCAAATTCTGTGGAGTTTATATTTTCAGTGGCAAGAACCAGCATTAAGGGGAGTTGCTTAGACAAATCCTTCCCATTTGCTTTGAAATAATACTCCTGAGGGGCTTGACTTGAACCCAGAAAGTAAGGAAAGTAAAACTTAGGCGATAAGACCTACCATTCTCTTTGTTTTGAGACATTGCTCAAGTTTTTCAAACACGGCTTGATTTTTATGAGCTGTGAAACCACTTCACGCTCCTATGCACATAAGTAGAAAAAAACCCCAACCCCAAACAAGCAACGACTTTGTGCATGACTCAGAACTTCCTGGCTTTGATGGGTAAAAGTAAGACCCTTAGAGGTTATCTGCACATAATATATATGTGTGTGTGTGGGGAGGGGGGAGTGTTAGTTGAGATTGGTTTATGATTTTTAAACATAAATCTTAGTTATATATGGTGACTATTTTCCTGTAGCAAGTGGGTGTGGCAAATCTGAATCATATTGATTGAAAACAGTGATATGTAGTATTTGGCAGAAATCACATGTAGTGCAAAATTTTAGGAAGTGTGCCGAGCAGTTTTCCTTCAGCAACTTTCTTGTTTTTTTTATCTATGACCGCCAGTTATTAAAACAGATGGACAATCAGGACTGAATGGGAAGAATAGATGGACAGCGTGGTTCTCCTTTTTGACAGGAGATTACCAGATTTTTAAACAAAAAAGACATATTTATTGAACTTTCCTGAGAAAGCATTTAAATAAGTGTGTGTGTGTGTGTGTGTGTGTGTGTGTGTGTGTGTATATGCTTGTGCTTTCCTTGGGATATGCGTAATTCCTGTTAATGTTTGTAGGATTTACTTTTTACTGGGGGAAAATGGTTTTAATTCCTTTGGGGTTTGCATCATTCAGCAGAATCAAAACTGCACATATTCAGTGCACAGAATCTATCCTCTGGCCCAGAAATGACCTTTTTATTTTTAATGACCAATTGAGTTTGGAAAACTATGTCTATAGTTCACTTCTTATATTGAGTCATTGCCTGTGAGACTCGGAGGATATAAAATTTTTACTGGGAAGGACTTTCTTCCTGGCTGTTCCATACATAGTGAGTCACCATTTACTATACTTCATAGGTATTATAATTCTGCTTCCATGCTGGCTTCTAGAGCTGTAGGTATGTCACTCAGTGGCTGTTGTCTCCATGCACCTGGTAAACCATGGCAACTCCCATGTTTGCAACTCCCATGTTTCCAGCTTCCATGGCAGCTTCTATGTTTGCAAGAAATCCCCTTCATGTGTTATCTTTATTAACACAAAGTGCAATGCAAATCTCTGAGGGTATGTCTACTTTACAGGATAAGGGAGAATTAAGATAAGTAAGTTCAGCTACGTTAATTGCATAGCTGAAGTTGAAGTACCTTAACTTGGCTTTTGGCGCTGTCCACATTGAAGGAAGTCAAAGGGAGAACACTCTTCCTTCAACTTCCCTTACTCCTTGTGAAAGCAGGGCTACCGGCAATGACCAGAGTGCCCCCTCACTTCGAATTAGCTATCTTAACTAGATTGCTAATTTGAACCCTGAAAGATTGACAGCAGCAGCTTTGGTCTTCTCTCTAGTGTAGACATATCCTATGGAACTAGCTATAAAAACATTTGGACAGCTGTGTGCTCACCAGACATTAGGGCTCCACTTTCTTTATTATGTCCCTTAGGAACATAGGAATTGCCAGACTGGAGCAGACTCAAGGACAATCTAGTTCAGTATGCTGACTCTGCCTATAGCTAGCATAAGATGCTTCACAGAAAGACAGTGTTGCTAGTACTAAGACTACTAGGAGTGCTCCCACACCCCTGGCTTGAAGTAGTAGTAAAAATCCAAATACATGGCTTCTGTCATCAGCACCCACACTATAATAATTGTTCCAGCACTCTGGAGTCAGAAACTTGCAGAAGGCCAATATGGATGATCTGCCTCTCAGGTCAGGTCTCACCCTGCTCTCTAATAATTACATTGGTTTAGACCCTGAAGGATAGGGTTTATTTTTTCCCACTTGTTCTCATTAACTATAAATCTGGATATTCTTGACATCCCGATGGACACCCAAACTCAAAGCATGTTAAATGTTTGGTCTCTATGACTTCTGTGGCAATGAGTTCCACAGCCTATAAAATGTGTGGAAAAAGTATTTTCCTTTTTATTTTTGAATTTGTCACCTTTTAATTTAGTTGAACAGCCCTTGTTCTTGTGTTACAAGGCAGGGAAAACCAAATTTCCTAATCTACTTTCCCTAGACCCTTTCTATGTTTTATCATGTCCTTTCTTATTCATCATCTTTGTAAGGTTAAAAAAACAAACCAACCCCAATATTTTCAGTCTACTCTGAAAAGAGAGTTTTTATAGATCCTGAACCATTTTAGTGACTCTTGAATTCTCTCTACTTTTGTAATATTCCTTCAGATACAGGAGGTAACCAGTACTGCTCAAAATATTCCAGTGGAGGACACACCTTCAATTTATATAAGGGAATAGCAATATTACTTGTATTAACTATTTCTTGTGCATCCTAACATATTATTTGGACTTTTAAGTGCAACTGCATGTTCTGCAGAGATCTTCACTGAGCTGTTTAATATGACATCCAGGTTCCTCTTTTGAGCTGATCCTTTCATGGCTCAGTTCATACAGATTACTCTGCTGAGTACTCTTCAAATATTTAAAATGGTAATGCAAAGCCAAATATGCACATGCTTGCCCTTGTCTTAATATGTGCCCTCAAATTAAATAGTGGAAAGAAGACACATATAGACAAGACTCCCTGGAAAGTCACTAGTACCTTAGATAGCTAGGGACTGGAGAAACTGAAAAAGCTTCTGATTTTAATTCCCATCTCTGTTTCAAATTTAATTTCTTCCCAGAGTCAGGTAGGGGACTTACACTAGCTAGTCATGGAAAGATTGGAATCTTTATCAATATAGGATTGTGACTGGGTGGGCCAGGTCCCGGAGCCCTGTGCTGGAGATTCGTGGTACTGCCACACTTGACCAAGCAAACCATACAGAAATCTCCAGGAAAGACAGAGTGGCACAAAGGATATAACCAATTAGGGTCCAGCAAGCCAGTTAAAAGGAAGCTGCTGGGCCAAAGTGAGGCAGTTCCTCTGTGAGCTCAAGAGGCTTAAATTTGGCTCGAGGGTTGGGTCACAGGAGTCATAGCAGGGAATGCAGGCACAGGTACTTGGCCAAAGGGGGCCACTCACATAAGATGAATGACTCCCCATTACAAGGATAAAAATATAACTAATAGACTAAGTAAAAGCATACAACTGTTTCTTATTAAAGAATATTAGTACCTAATAACACTTAAATACCACAATCTCTTTCAAAAAATTCCCCTAGTGCATCACAGAGGAATCTAAACGCAGATGACATCATCCATCGTGGCACAAGAACACCTAAATGTTTAACGATAAAACATATTTTTACTCTATTTTAAAAAAAGTAAACATAGTGCTGAATTGACATGTAGAATTGAAGGCCATAAAGGACAATCATGATCACTTAATCTGACCTCCTACACATCACAGGCCACAGAACCACAGTTACGCCTATAATCAATTCATAATCTCTGGCTGAGTTATTGACATCCACAAATCTTGATTTATAATGTCCTCAAGTTACATCATTTGCTCTAGATCAAACCATCAAGTGAAGATAGCTACACTACAGAGGAAGGTGAAACAAACCCATTGTCTGTGCCAAGCTGACCTGGGGGAAAATTCCTTCCTTGCCCCAAATGTGGCGATCAGTTAGACCTTGAACATGTGGGCAAGACCCACCAGCCAGACACTTGGGAAAGAATTCTCTATAGTGACTCAGAGCCCTTTCTGTCTAGAGTTCTATCGCTAGCTGTTGGAGATCTTTGCTAAGAGAAGAAGTTGTCCATTTAAAGAAAATACAACATGAGCAGCAGGAGTGCAAACTTTGCCCTGTCTCAGCTTTGGTATAGGTCTAGTCTTCATTTGGAAGACGTACCATATGTCCATGCTGGTTAAGGGTGTGACTTAAATAGTTGTACCAGTCTAAACCCTAGTACAGATAAATTGAAATGGTACCTTACACTGTTATAGTTATTCCCCTTCCCATACAGGATTAATTATCCCTGTATTTAGCACCTTTATGTCGATATAACGGTGTCCACATGGAGGTTGGTAGCTAAGCTCCTTTAATAATGCTAATATCTTTGAAATGGTGCAATCTCCCCAATGTAATTGTGGGTTTAGAATTACAGCCTGAAATGAGTCATTCATTTGCTGTGGTAATTAAATCCTAGACCTCTGTTTAATTGCCAGGAAGTGTGATGTTTAATATGATCATTTTGGACAGATCAAGGCAAACCCACATTTGAATGGTCTACAGATGACATCAATAGTGTTAATAACACCAGCAGTCAAACAATAAATGTGCTGTGCCATAAAACAAATTCAGGAAGAAGCTAGCCACAGACTTATGGAACCACTAGCATTGAAAACTCCAAATCCCAAAATTTACACCAAGGAAGCTGGGAAGTTTCATTTAATTTTCACCCCTCTCCCCAGCCCTTTGTCTCATTCTACACTTTTGGATTATAGGGCTAAATGTGTGGAAATACGATCAGAGAACTGGTTCATGAAACATCTGTTCCAATTTTGCTGTTTACCAATGTTGTTGGTACTTATCTGAAATAGACCTTCACATTTTTTATGTTCACACTCAAATAGTTCTGTAACTGGTCAGTTGGATGTTTCCTTTATCTCTTTGCAGACCATGGAACTCACTCATACAAATGGAGAGAAGCTTGAGGAGACACAAGAAAATTCCTAGAAAGAAGTTCAACTTTTTTTCTTCCTCAGCAGATGCTTATCTATGGTATGTTAATGATTGTGAAGAGGAAAGCACAACGCAACACACATAATGAATTGCCATATTTTAGTGGTCCATTCCATCATGAAGGGGGAAGAGATGGAGGTTCTACTTAGTATATGCTGTACTTCCTCTGGATTGAGGCAATGTAAACAATAGGTAAAGTAATGTATAAACAATAGCAATTAGCAAGATTTGGCACTCTGGAGGCTATATCAGTTTTCTCTAATAAATCCTGATGCCCACATACCTTCCATAAGATGGTTAAAAGTTCTGTGAACACATATCAGTTATTCCAATAATGAACCCAACCATTTAAGATACTTACTTTGTAATTTTCTTCAGTGTTTCACTTCCTGTGAGTAAAGCACATATTACACATTTCTAGAAGCCCTTCCTTTCTTCGTGATTCTCTCCTAGCTAGCATGGGCCTAGTTGGCATGGCATTTAGCAGTTGCTGTGTCAACTGGCTTACAATTCTTAAGTTTGCACAGTCATGTCTTTCACAGACACAGCAGTTTCCTCTTGGGCAACTTCAGCATTGCAACTAATTTGAGTAAGAAGTTCTTCTCCATTTTGAGATGTTGAGGTGTTGGCAGGGCAAGTGTGTGACTAGTCACAGGAATTCCTAGCTGGTGGGTAAGTAACTTTTAATCCTTTCCTCCTAAATTGGATCCTTTCCTGTCTTTGCTGCATGACTATCATGATATCAACTTTTACTTCCTTCCAAATGTTCAGTAATTACACTTATAAAATAAACTGTTCACATTGGCACATAAGAGATATGCTACTTCCTTTTTTTCTTTGGTTAAACAAAGCAAATGGATTACTCCAATATATAAAATGAATGTATTTCTACTTTATAAAAGATCTCAGTGGATATCTGTAAGCTGCATCTAAGGTCCATGTGAGAGCCTCATTTTGGATGCTTAACTGAAATATGATGTATGTGAAGATGAATATTTGATAGTAAACAGAAACTGCTAAACCAATTTTGGTTTCTCAGAGGTAAAACATGTGAGTCCTATAAGAAGCTATATAGATTTATGGTGCTATATGAATGGTGAGATTTAATCTGCTGTAGCAATAGCAGTAAGTAAATGGAATACAAGCATATTGTTTAGAAGGATGGAATATGTGAATCTTGTGTCTGTTTTGCTCAGAGAAATCGGGGGTGGAGATTGCTCATAAAAATGAGGGGTAGTGATGTGCAAAATGACAGGCATGTATTAAAGCTATCTCAGTCAGCTAAGGCTTTAACTGTGACTCTCATATTGTTCAAGTCCCAGGCTTCTCTGTGAATAGGTATTCCAGATTATATAACACTGGGTCCAAACTAGGACCAATTCCCCTAAACAGAATTCAGACCTATTTAAGGTTCAGATAAGTAACCTCTCCAAGATCTCTGACTCTCACCAGATGCCCTTTCTGTTTCTGCACTTGGTTGAATTTAAATCCTAATGTATCTCTTGCTGATATATTCTATTATTTCAGCTAAGAAATCTGAATACTGTTAACGAGGATTTGGTATTTTCAGTGGTGCAGCTGAGTTGGCCCCAGGATATTAAAGAAACAAGGTGTGTGAGATCTTTGTTATTAGATCTTTCCCAGACCTGAAGAAGAGCTCTGTGTAACTCAAAAGCTTGTCTCTTTCACCAACCGAAGATATTAGCTCACACACCATGTCTCCCTAAGGAATTGGTAATCTTTCAGTGATGCCAGTGATTTGCAATTCAGCAGTTAGAGCAAGCTTCTCTTAGGCATCTCTTAATATAGTGAGATGTGTTTTGGTAACTTCTATTGGGTGCTATTCTGTCCTTTTGCTGGTCTTTCAAGCTCTGTAGCTTCCTAGAGACATTTAGGGCATGTCTTCACTATGCAGAAGATCGATGCTGTCACAGTCAATCTTCTGGAGTTTGATTTAGTGGGTCCTGCTAGATTGAATTCAAAGGGCACCTCATCAGTGTCGCTCCTCCCGCTCCTCATGAGGACTAAGGGTATGTCTATACTACAGCGTTATTTAGAAATATCTTATTTCGAAATAGTTAATTTGAAATAAGTTAATCCGAAAGAATGAGTCTATACACAAAATGCATTTCAAAATAGTGTTTTGCTATTTTGAAATAGCGTGTCCACACTGAGTGGACTCTGAATCGCATTTAAGGCTGGCCGGAACCAGTTCCAGCAGGGCACCAGGTCAGGACTTACTGTGTGGGGCTGCTGCCTGAGGCTATCTGAGGTCTGTGCTTAAAGGGACCCCCCAGGACAGCCAGTTCTCAGGTTTCTCTGCTTGCTTGTCTACCTTGATGAGGTACAGTAAAGCATTTTGTCTCGGCGTGCTCTGATTGCCCTCACTCGGGACACCACAGCACTCTGCAACATGGAGCCAGAGCTGCCCTTGGGCACTCTGGTGCTTCTCCTGGACGCGTTGCTGAGAGCCTGGCAGCACGTTCTGCAGGCAGTAACAGTCTCCCTGGTGTGCCTCACTGGGGGCTTGTGCTTCATTCCTCCTTCACGTCCTTCCACTTACCCCTCCCTAGCCCCCCTTCCTGATGTTAAATAATAAACATGTATTTTCAAACATATAAACTCTGTTTATTTAACAAAACTAGGGGATATGAACCTCTGGGGAGACTGGGGAAAGGGGATCGGTGAGTGGAGGGGGAAACCTGGAAGGAGGGAGCTGAAAGGGGGAGGGGAAGTTCAGAGGTGGGGGTCTTGCTGGGTTGACTCTCTCCCAGCACAGCGGGTGCGGGAGCCTCCGTGTCCCCGGGGAGATGGGGAGGAGGGTGTGGAGATTGAGGAGGAGGGTGTGGCGATTGTGGAGGGAGAGATAGCAGGGGGAGGAGGAGTGGGAGGAGGAGCAGGAACTGGAGCGGCACGAGGATGCATGCTCTGCACCAGAGGGCTGGTCGCATATAGCACGACCCTGGGTAAGCAGCTCCCACCAGAAGTCCCTTTCGTCCTGCACCCACTGCTCCAGGGTGCGGTGCAGGGCTCGCAGGGCCCCCAGGTGCTGCTCGTGGTACCCCTGCTGTGTTCGGGTGGTCCTCCGGTGGAGCTCTTTGCTGCAGGAGGCGGTCCTGCACGGGATGGTGCGCCTACATGCGCAGCTGGTGCGGCTGTGGAGAAAGAAGAGAAGTGGTCAGTTCTCCCTGGGGACACAGTGGGTGAAGCACAGCCCCCCTCTGCAAGGTGAGGATGACTGTGCCCTGCACTGTCAGAGCCACTGTGCTTGCACAGAGGCCATGGTCAGATTGGTAGTGGGAGCTGCCCCGAGACTGCACCCAGGCCCCTGTGCTGTGTACAGTGTGGCTGAGGTGGGGGGAAGATGTTAGAGGGGGCTTGTGAAGGGACGGCGTCCTGCTGTGTCCCGCCCTCTGCACTGTCAGAGCCACTGTGCTTGCACAGAGGCCATGGTCAGATTGGTAGTGGGAGCTGCCCCGAGACTGCACCCAGGCCCCTGTGCTGTGTACAGTGTGGCTGAGGTGGGGGGAAGATGTTAGAGGGGGCTTGTGAAGGGACGGCGTCCTGCTGTGTCCCGCCCTGGGTCAAGAGCATGTCAGGTCTCTTCACACATGCGTTTGGCTATCAGGCGATGGCCCCTGTGTGGCAGGCAGCTGGAGCCACCTGCCCAGGGGTTGCATGGCACGTGCTCGCATGTGCACAGGTTGATGCATGGTAAGCAAGGGCTATGTGCGTGTCCCCTGGTCTCCTTTCCCGCCCCCCCCAGGAAGGGGACAGTGACAGTACTACATGGTGTGGCCTCCCCGGATGACCCTTCTGACTCCTCTCTTGGGACTTCTCGGGGGTGCTGGTGGCGTGACTTCTCTTCTCTTCTGTGCCCTGGTCAGGGCCCTCCTGTCCCAGCTCGCTGCCCCCCGGGGTGGCACAGACCCCACCACCCCCCAGGATGCGGTCCAGGGCGGTGAAGTAGGGGCAGGTCTCTGCCCCTGCTGCGGAGCTGCCCCGAGTGGCCCTGGCATATGCCTGCCGCAGCTCTTTTATCTTGTGGCTTACCTGCTCCTGGGTGCACCTGTGGCCTTTCTTGCCCATGGTGGAAACTATGTGGCCATATATGACCGCTTTCCTCCATCTAGTGCAGAGATCATACTCCGGGGGGCGGGGGGAGGGGGGGGGGGACAGCTCCCTGCCACTGGCTGCCTGGCTCATTGTGTGGCCACTGGTGAGGGGCAGTGACTGCTGACAGGCCTGGCTCTGGCACATGTAGTGCTGCCAGAGTCTACCCCTTTAAGGGCTCCGGGCCTGGGGACAGGAGAAGAGTTTTTCTGGTTTGGCCCTGAGTGGCCACCAAGGGAAACAGGGAAGGGCTGGAGGCCCCCTATTTCGGATTAAGCAGCTACACAGAGTTTATTCCGAATTAGCTAATTTGAGTTTGGCGTTATTCCTTGTAGAATGGCATTTAACTAACTTGAAATAAATGCCCCGCTATTTCAAATTTATTTTGAAATAGCGGTTTGCTTGTGTAGACGCTATGGAAGTTAATTCGGAATAATGGCTGTTATTCTGAATGAACTTTGATGTGTAGACATAGCCAGAGGGAAGCTGATGGGAGCCTTGATGTAGCTGGCATTGCATATCTTACTTTAACCTTCCCATGTAGTGTAGACCATGGCTTAGTGCACACTGGAAGTAGGATGTATTCCTGCTATGCCACATTCCTGCATATAATAAGTCTTACAGTACAGGAAAATCTATTTCCATTTGTCTATTACCATATGTCTAGAGATGTTATGGAATCTCCATCACTGGAGATTTTAAAGAGCAGCTTAGAAAAAGACTTGCCCGGGATGATCTAGATCAGTGGTCCCCAAACATTGAGGTTGCCAGGCACCAAGGGGCGTGGCCGTTCTTCACCGTGCGCCATGCGCCCGAGGCCGGCTCTGGCACAACGCATGCGCCACGTGCCCGGGACCAGGCCAGCCCCGAGCACTTGGCGGGAGCATACAAATGCCCCTGCGGGCGCCATGGCGCCCGCGGGCACCGTGTTGGGGACCACGGCTCTAGATGGTGCTTAGTCTTGCCGTGGTTGCAGAGGACTGGACTTGATGATCTCTCAAGTTTCCTTCCCGTTCCAGTATTCTATCATAGGTATTCAGTGATGTGTGGACATCCCTCTTTTAACTGTGTTTTCATTGTGACTTTGTTGAGGTTGTTCACCCTCTTTTTTAAATGGAATGGCGCACTCTTACTCATAAAAGAAAGAGTAGGATATCTGCCTTCTATTTGCAGCTACTCTGTTCTGTATGAAAGAGGCACTGACTTGTTCATTGGATAGAAAGGTGAAACTACAGGTGTTAGTGGAGTAATCATTAGTTGTTCATGCACAAACTATTCGCTAATTGTCCAGGGCTTCCAGGACATTGAGATTGTCTGTCTTTTTCATCAACAGAAGTTGGTCCAGTAAAACATTACTTCACTCACTCTGTCTGATATCCTGAGACCAGCATGGCTACAACTCCACTGCAAAGACTTTAAGGTGTCATTAAAGTAATTTAATGTCTTTCTGCATGGGTGCAGTGCTGTGATATTGCAGTTCAGCTGGGTGTGCTTGCTTGTGCAGGCCATTCTTCAGTATCGTATAAAACACTGATGAGTTTTATACTGTCCCCCATTCT